ATAGCGAAGTTACCAGCATAAACCTCTAGTTACTTACAGGTTTGTTTGGGGGATTTTTGGCTTTGTTTGTTTGTTTGTTTTTTCCCATAGAGTGTGTGTTTTCACCAAAGAGAGATAAGGGAAAAGTAAGAAATCACCCCCCAGTGGTGATGGCCACACCATAATCCCTTTCTTCTGTTTTCCTTTCAGTATTTTGGGAATGGACATACATGCTTCTGGTGTGAATTTCAAGCTGCCCAGTCCAGTTCTCAAACTGCCATCTACCATGTGGGAATCCAGTGCTCTAACCACACCAACACCTGCTGGCCACTGCAGGTTATTTTTAAAATTCCTTTATAGCTATACGTAAAATAAACAGTCCTATTTGAAGTTCTTACTAGTTAACTGCCCACTGCAATTTGAGGGAAATTTATTCAGACTAGAATTTAATTTAACCTTAAAAAATTTTATTAATTTTGAACTTATAAAAATTAGGATCTGACTTAAACCTTTTAAGTTAATATTTTAGAGCTAAATACCATTGATAGTTCAATGAATTTATGGTTCTCTGTAATTTGTATAAAATTTTTATACCCTTGGGCATAATTTTTTAATAAAAATATTATCAGCATGTATAGTACAATAATATTTACAATTTGTACATTTCCCCATAGTTAGCACATAAATTTTTGTATATCAGCACATAGACATTTCTATTTTATTAATCATTCCATTAATGATGGACTTCTGGGGTGCTTTCCAACATTTGTTATTAAAGATAGTAATCAATGAGCATTGTTGATTATTTTTATTCGGAAACTTAGGTTATAAATCCTATGGGAACCAGCAGTTAGCGTAATGGCTATGTCGCTGGATTCCCACGTAGTCGACCGCGGTTCACGTCCTGGACTCGGTGGGGTGGCTTAGAACTCACGCCAGGCGCGTTTGCGTGCGTGCCCAGGATCCCGAGAGGAGAATGGAGGAGAAGGGATTGCGGCGTGACCATCCCCCCTGGGGGGTGATTTCTCGCTTTCTATCTCTATGTCTCTCTCTCTCTGTCTGGCGAGTGCAAGCACCCTATAGCGAAAACCTCTCAAAAAAAGAAAAAAAAAACTTAGGTTATAAATCCTAGTGAATGTTCTCTGTTAAACTGTTGCAAAACTTGTAAATCTAAGATAAAAACAACTTCCCCCAAAATATTATACCACTGTACTTCAAAACACTATAGAAAGCAGAATATAAGATTCTTATACCTCCACCTCATGACCAAAATTAAATTTATATTTTAATGTAGTAGATAAAATTATGTATTAGACTATTTTTATTTGCATTTTTAACCTATAAATAAGGTTTAAAATTTGTGTTTAAAAATATTTGTACTTCTTTTTCTGATAATTAACAAGTTATATGACTTCCACACTTTTCTATTGTTTATCGTTTTCCTACTAAATGCTAAATTATTCAAAAATGAGAGCTTTTTGGTTTTGTGTTAAAAATATATTGTCATCACTTTTCTTGTGTTTACTCTTATGTTGTTACTTTCATAGAGAAATGTATGAGTTTTTATCTTCATGAACTCTAGATTTATGTCTAAAATATTTCATTAGCTCTATAATGTCAAAATAATATGTAACTGCATTTACTTTTAATAATATCATGGTTTTATTTTTATAGATACAAATCTTTTACTCTCTGAAATTTATTTTCATATGAGAAATTAGACTGGGATCTTATTTCACTTACCCCAGTTGCCAATTGCTATTACTTGCCCTATTATTGTTTACTGAATCTTTTCTGTTATATATCTCATTTATATATGTATTTGTACCTAGATCTGGAAAACAATCCCTGTTGTATTTTGCTGTCTCATTCTTCCTTCTCTGGATCTACTCTCTCTGAAATGTTGTAACTCTGTCAAGCTGTAGAGTAAGTATCGCGTGAAGGCAAATACATATGTCACATGGCATGGGCACACCTCAAAAAGGCAGGGTTTATTAGGAAATCTAAGAAAAAAAATGTATCAAAGTTTCTTCTCTCATCATCTCATGGAGAAGCACCTAAGGGTCGAAGCGGTGCTGCATATAGCATTGTAATATGCCCCAGGACAGCCATCTCAGGCTAACCTAAGAACAAACTCAGAGGAATAAATTATAACTATTAAAAGCTAAGTGGTATGGATTTTCAAGCCTGCTTTTTAAGAAAATGATAAAGCCAGCTGCTAGCATTTACTGATGTCATCAAATTCTAACATTAAGAGTCTCCTTTCCCCCAGTAAGAGTCAGCACCAGCTAATGGGTCTGTGACTCTCACCCAAATATGTTTTAGTGTGTTATGCATGGCTTTCATCAAGTACAGCTTTTCTTGTATTTTCAGTTTTGTTGGTTTATTTTCCTATCCTTCAGCCAACATCAAAACTGTCTCATTACATGTTTTGATATTAGGTCTCGGTATAAAGTATAGTATAAAGTCCACAGCTTTTTCTTCAAGATCACCTTGGTTTATCTTAGCATTTTGCATTCCAACATGTGTTTTAGAATCAACCTATCAATTTTCAAAAAACTCCTACAGTAATCCAGATGGGGAATATGTTGAATTTAAAGATAACTGGCACATTGGGACCAGCAGTTAGTGTAATGGCTATGTCACTGGACTCCCATGTAGTCAACCACGGTTCACGACCCAGATCCGGTGGCTTAAAACTCACACTGGGCGCGTGTGCATGTGTGCCCAAGATCCCAAGAGGAGAATGGAGGAGAAGGGATTGTGGCATGGCCACCTCCCCTGGGGGGTGATTTCTCGCTTTCTGTCTCTCTGTCTCTCTCTGTCTGTCTGGAGAGCGCACACGCCCTATAGCAAAATCCCCTCTCCAAAAAAATAAATAAATAAAGATAACTGGCACATTTAGATTTCTTTTTTTTAATCTTTTTTTTTTGAGAGGTTTTTGATACAGGTAGTGTGCCCTTGCCAGAAAGACAGAGAGAAACAGAGAAACAGAAAGTGAGAGTGATGGCCATGCTGCAATCCCTTCTCTTCCATTCTCCTCTTGGGATCTTGGGCATGCACGCACATGCGCCCAGCGTGAGGTTTAAGCAACTGGATCTGGGACTTGAACTTGTGGTCAACTACATGGGAGTCCAGCAACACAGCCATTATGCCAACTGGGGGTCCCTAGATTTCTTAATATCAAGCCATTATTGCTTTCCTACAATAAAATTTGTGGTTTGAGTAGGGTCTAAAATAATACGGATTTGCGAAGATACTGTAGTGTAAATTTTTACAACCTTTGTTAAGAATCTTGGCGTTGGAACCAGCAGATAGTATAATTGTTACAAGGCTAGACTCCTATAGCAAAAATCTCTTTCAAAAAAAAAAAAAAAGAAAGAAAGAAAAAAAAAAAAAGACACAGACACAGACACACACACACACACACACACATCAGGCACATGTGAATGTGTGCTCAAAATTCTGACAGAACAGAGGAATGGAAGAAAAAGGATTGTGAAATGACCATGCCTTGTTAGAAGGTCTTTCTCTCTCTTCCTCTCCTTCTTCTTTTTCTTTCTCTCTGAGAGGTTTCTGGAAACTTTTGGTAAAATGAAATAAAGAAAAAGAAAGAGAAGGAAAGAAAGGAAGGAAGAAAGAAAAAGTTTTCATATGTAGAGAGATATGTACATACATTATTTTTAAAATTATTTTTATTATTTTTTTTGGGGGGAGAGGTTTTTGCTATAGGGCATGTGCCCTTGCCAGAAAGACAGAGAGAGACAGAGAGACAGAAAGCAAGAAATCACCCCCTAGGGAGATGGCCATGCTGCAATCCCTTCTCCTCCATTCTCCTCTTAGGATTTTGGACATGCACGCACACATGCCTGGTATGAGTTTAAATCACGGGGTCTGGTATTTGAACCATGGTCGACTACATGGGAGTCCAGCGACATAGCCATTATGCCAACTGCTGGTCCTATTTATTTATTTATTTATTTAAAAATGTTTTTCTTCATTCATGAGAGAGACAAGCACTCTCCACAGTGTTTGGTCACGTCTTGCTCCCCTTCCGTCAGTCCTCCAGCCGATTGGATCTTGGGCTATTGTGCATGTGCCCAGGTCTATTTCAGGTTCTCAGGTTGAGGATTCTAATCACAGTCAGTAGCTCATTAACCCTGCGCAATGGAGGTGAACCCATCTGTATATATCAGTGCTATATTTTTATAATTGCCATTGATCAACTACCATACAATGTTTATTCCCAGAATATTATTTTGATAGAATATATACAATTATGTTTTTTATAAAACAACATATAGTAAAATAACAAATGAACTTTACTTTTGCAAGTTTTTATTTTAATCCTACTTAAAAATTGTGAAGCAAAATGATAAAAATACTAATATTTATTAATTCCAAATAATTTTTAAGAGGTTTTTGCTTTAGGGTGCATGTGCTCACCAGAGGGAGAGTGACAGAGACAGTCAGAGGGAAAGTGAGAAATCATTCCCGGGGAGGAAGTCCATGCCACAATCCCTTCTCTTCTATTCTCCTCCCAGGATCTTGGGTATGCACACACATGTGCCGGGCATAATTTTCAAGCCACAGGGTCTTGTACTTGAACCACAGTTGGCCATTTGGGAGTCCAGCAATGTAACAACTATGCTATCTGCTAGTCCCTAATTCTGAATAATTGTACGCTGTTCTTTACTATATTATTCTTGTACTTTTCTGAATTTTTAAAACATTTCAAAGTGTTTAAAAACTACATTGGATTTATTTTTTACTAATTCAATCTTTAGTCATATATAAGCCACTTCATGTTTTTTTCATTTTTTCTGTTTATTTCAGTTCTCATTGTTTTCTTCTTAGATATAATAGCTGTCACCAACTGGCTCCCAGTATTTTTTTTAGTGTACATTTCAGTGGATTTTAGAAAGCACAATTAACTGACTATGTATTTCATCTCTCAATGTCATCTCACAGAATTTAATCTATTTTTATTTTATTTTAGGTAATGTATTTGAACAGTTAAAGAAATGGAAAAAGGAAATCACTCCATGGTGTCTGAGTTTATTTTATTGGGACTCACAGAGTCTCCTGAATTACAAATTTTCTTTTTCTTATTTTTTTCCATCATCTACATATTCATTGTATTAGGTAACCTCATCATTATCTTTGTAGTGAAATTGGACCCTCAATTGCACTCTCCTATGTACTTCCTGCTGGCCAATCTGTCCTTTATTGATATGTCCCTGGCTTCCTTTGCTACTCCTAAGATGATCTATGATTTAATTAGTAAATATAGGATCATCTCCTATGAAGGCTGCATGACCCAGATGTTTTTCCTTCACCTTTTAGGTGGAAGTGAGATGATGTTGCTTGTAGCCATGGCAATTGATAGATACGTTGCCATCTGCAAACCCCTCCGTTACAAAAATATCATGAGCCACTGCATTTGCATCAGACTTGCACTTCTCTCCTGGGCCACCGGTTTTGTGCACACAACCAGTCAAATGGTTTTCACAATTACTTTGCCATTCTGTGGTCCCAACGTTGTGGATAGTTTTTTCTGTGATCTGCCTCGAGTGATCAAACTTGCCTGCACTGACACTTACATCTTGGAGCTGTTAGTCATTGCAGACAGTGGACTGCTCTCTTTGTTTTGTTTCATCCCTCTGTTCATCTCCTACAGCATCATCCTGATTACTGTCCAGAATCGCTCCTCCAGCAGGTCTTCCAAGGCTTTGTCTACTCTTTCAGCACACATTACAGTGGTGGTTCTGTTCTTTGGCCCTTGCATCTTTATCTATGTGTGGCCATTCAGCAGTGTCTCCACTGATAAGATCCTCTCTGTGTTTTACACAATTTTTACTCCCCTTTTAAATCCAATCATTTACACATTCAGAAATAAAGATATGAAGAAAGCATTAAGGAAAATGATCAAGAATGTGAGTTCCAGATCAACCTTTTAACTGAAATATTATAATCAACAAAAGCATCATCATCATTGTTTTCATCCAAAGACATTGAGGTGTATGATTTTGTACAAAACATAACCTATTTTAAAAAATGATAACCTTTCCCAATATAAGCATATAAGCAGTAAAATTTCGTGTTTCTTTTTCTGTATATGTATATCTGTGTGTGTGTGTATGTGTGTGTGTGTGTGTGTGTGTGTGTGTTGTAACTAAGTTTATCAGGAAATTATAGTTTAAATATTATGTATTGAGTTCTAATCATACATGAGACGCTTTCATGAATGTTCTATCTTTACATCCATTAAAATAGAGAATCTAAGTTAAATATCATCAATAAGAAACAAAATCGAGCATTTGAAAACTTAACAAACCTGCCATAGCAATTATTGTATAAGTACTATATCCAAAATCAGATCCTACACCTAATTACAAAAATCTATACTTTTCTAACTAAAAATGTTCTAACTGGAAATATTTTCTATCTACATTTTAATAACATCCATACATTTTTGTTTCCCTCCTTTACAAATCATAGTTCCCAATAAATACATCTTTTCAACAAGAAAATCATCTTTCTATTAATCTAAAAATGAAAAGTTGCCAAAACACAGTCTCCTTTTGCTTCTGATTCAATAGAAACAAAAGTTTATTAAATTAGCTATTATGATTTATTCCAATTGTACTATTGGGTTGACTAGAAAATCATGATACATTTTTGCATAAAAAAAGTCATGACTTTCTCAACAACCTAATAAAATTGTTGTTATAAAATAGATTAAGGAAGACAATTTTTGAAACTCAAGTGATTTGCTGTAATATCTCACAGTATTTACATGTCTAGTAGCGAAAGTAGTTAAAAAGTATATAATCTAGTAAAAAGCAAAACTTGATTTATTCCACCAAGTAAAGAATCACTGTCATTGGAGATTTAGATGAAAACAGAAGAATCAATAAGCAGTAAAGTGAGGTGGTTATGGGGAGCAGCAGATGGCTTAATGTTTACTTCAGTGGATTACCTCTTAGTCAACTACAGTTCGAGTTCGGACCTGGTAACTTAAAACTCACACCTGTGCATGTGTGTGTATGCCCAATATCCCGAGAGGCAAATGGAGGAGAAGGGATTGTGGCTTTGTCATCCTTCCTTGGGGGTGATTTCTCACTTTCTGTCTCTCTGTCTCTGTCTCTGTGGTGAGCACAAACATCCTATAGCAAAAATCTCTCTCTAAAAAATAGTAATAATAATAATAAGGGTGGTGGCCATGAATATGGATTATCACAACCTGTTAGTTAAACAATGATTTTAGAAGTTAAAAATACTTCTTCTAAATTGTATTTATTCAAATATTTCCAGTTCTTTTTTTAAAAGTTTATTTATTTATTCCATGAGTGAGACAAACACAATGAGAGACAGAGCCAGCCAATGATAAGGTAGTTAAGGCAGCTAGATCCCACATGGCTAATGGCTGACTATGCAGCTCAAGTCCCAAACCCAGCAGCTTGAAAAATACACCATGTGCCAAGTACTTGTGTATGTTGCCTCAAATCCAAAACTCCCAATGTGGTTGTGCCACTGTCTAGTCCTCCAGTTGCTTTTGTGCTTTTATTTTTCCTTTTAAAAGAAATGGTAGTTACTTTATGTTTTTTTTTTTTACATTCACAATTTTGCATTTTTAATTATTGAAGCTTCATTTACATAATTACTGCTCTCACTGGTTTCAATGTGTCTAAATTAATCAGATACTTTTAGTCTTAAACTAATTACTTAAATCAGAACAAGATACAGCTGTATACAACATAGTACAACTTTTTCTCTTTTGATTTTTATGATCAAGTCTTGTGGTCATGAAGTACTTGACACGAGAGTGTGCATTATCTATTGTTCTTTCTTTTTTTTTTCCAAAACTTTTTTTTACTTTAAAATTCAGTCTCTATATTATATTCATGCAAGATTATGACTGATTGAGAAGTATCAACACTACACTGAATCAGATAACCAATGAAGATTTGTGTCTTTTCATTAGGAGGAAAGGGAGTATCTTAATCTGTTTTCAGTATAGCTGCATCTTTTAGACTGAAGCTCTTGTCAACTTTTGGAAGTTTAAATAACAGTACAAGGGGCTGTTGGTCTACTAGTGTAGTCAAAGGAGAACGCTCTGGAAGTTCATTGACTTTCAGCCTCATATTAGTTCTTCTATACTCTCCTGTCTATAGCAGAGAGCTATAAGCCTTGAAAATACATTTTAAAAATTCTCTTGCAAACTTATCCCTGTGATATTTGACCAATTAAGACTACCAGTTGGAAACATGATACTAGAAGGTGGAAAAAAGGAGAAGCCTTACATTTCACTGCTTGTTTCTGGCAGCAGCAGAAGCAGGACACCTGTGGACTACAGAAATACTGGTAAGGAACTAGGTGCATCAGCAAGATGCATCTTGAAGTATATGAAATCCTAGATTCTTAGAGCGGAACAGAGTTTCCAAGAGCAGCAATGACAGCACTGTGTCAACAGCAATTATGGGCGCTGGGCATCGCAATTTCGTCTTTTGTTCATCCAGCCTTTTGGGGCAGTGCTTTTTGCAGGTACTGAACTCTTGACTGTATTATTTTCCCCCTTCTTCTACTCATTTCTGAGCCACATACACAATTTCCCCAGCTTTATTGAAGGCATCTTGAGCCTAAAGTGTAATTAATTTATTAATTACCTGTTTTCCCAAACATGTTATTTGTCCTGTTTTCTCCATTTGAATTAATAAGATTGCTATTAGATTAATGACCCAATCTAAAAATCAAAATTTCCTATCCATAATATATGAATTGGCACACTGATGGTGTTCCGCATTCTGTGAGGCTCTTTAGTTTTTCCTGCTCTGTTGAGATTGCATAATCGTTGTAGGTATAACTTCATGTTCCCTTCTCTTTTTCCCGCCAGTTCAAATCTGAGCTCCTCTAGTGATTTCTTTACATGAGTTATACTTTCAACTTCAAAATTTCCATTTGGTTATATTTTTATAATTTCTCTACCTTTGTTGATATTCTCTATTTGCTGAAATACTGTATTCATATGTTCTTTGAATTCTTTTTTAAATCTCTGCCAGAGTATGCCTATGCTCACCAGAGAAACACAGAGAGGGAAAGCAAGAAAATACCCCTCATGGGAAATGGTCACACCACAATCTCTTCTCCTCCACTTCTCCCTCCTATTGAGATTTCAGGCATGCATGCACATGGATCAGTGTGTTTCTTAAGTCTCCTAGTCCAGGACTCAAATCAAGTGGTAGCCATGTGGAATCCACCCACCTTAACCACCACGCCACAGGGTGACCCATTCCTTTAACTCTTTAGGCATGGTTTCCTTCAATTCTTAGAATATATTTATAATAGTTGTCTTAAAATTTTTGTTATTTTCTGCTATGTGCAACACCTAGCTTAGCTAATTATGAAATCCATTTCCCCTGCAGTATGCAACTTCTAATCTCTGCTTAGATAACTAAAGAGGACTTAATGTTAAGCAAGGTGAGCCAGTCTTTTTCTTTTTTCTTTTCTTTTTTTTTTTTTTTTTTAGGGGTTTTTTTTTTGCTATAAGGCGCGTGCGCTCCGCCAAATTTTGCTATAGGATGCGTGCACTCACTGGAGAGACGGAGACAGAGAAACAGAAAGCGAGAAATCACCCCCCAGAGGGGATGGTCACGCCGCAATCCCTTCTCCTCCATTCTCCTCTTGGGATTTTGGGCACGCACGCACACGCACCCGGCGTGAGTTTTAAGCCACCGGGTCCGGGACGCGAACTGCAGTCGACTACGTGGGAGTCCAGCAACATAGTCATTACACTAACTGCTGGTTCCCAGGTGAGCCAGTCTTTGAAAGTCCAGCTAGGCTTCAAGGATAACACAAGGAACTTACTGGTTTTGTTTAAGCCCCCTTAGCAGTTACCCACATTAGATGTGTGAGTGGCTTGGAGGCTGCTCTCACAGTTCAAGGAGTTTATGTTTTTGTGCCCACCCCGCCTTTAAGGACCCCTGAAAGTTCCTTCTCCAGTCACTTCTCAGAGGTGCATACATGTGAGTTTCCACACAATTCTCTACACCATTAGAATTTTTGTAACTCAATTTTTAAGAAAAATTAAAATAAGTCTTTTAGTTTTATTTTGGCTTCTTAGGTATTGCTTTGGATTCAGTAAGGCATGTTTCACAGTCAATGTTTGGTTCTGCAGGTAGGCTTCCTTCCTTTGTTAATGGATTTACATGTGGCTTAGAAAATGTTCCCGTATGTATTCTATCCTTTCTCTGGTTTCTAAGTGGGTGCAGCCAGTCAACGCCGGCAGACTCCCTAGCCCCAGGATTGACTGTGACCCCAGTAGGGTGTGTGTGTGTGTGTGTGTGTGTGTGCACGGGTGTGCATGTCTGTCTCTCTATTTCTTGCTTGATTCTTTGAGTTAAGTTTCTGTTTGCTCTGTTTGATTTATTTATACCAATAGCTTGGAGCTATGAGAATCTGCATAGCTGTTCTCTATAAATATCTCCATTGTTTTTGTCAATATCCATAGATAGATATGGAATTCTCCAGGCTCTGTTTCAAATAAAAATAGATCTCTCAAGTGAGGCTGTGGGTCTTCATCCTTATGACACGCCTCTCGCTCTGGGCAGAACCTCTGCACCACTGCATAGGAGCTGGGGACTTTTCCAAAAGTGATATCCTTGCACTATGGGTGGGCACAGTGGGGAATCAAGTTCCTGGCTATCCTGGCTTGCCTTTTTGGGCATAAAGGCTCTGCAAGCAAGCTGGAGGACAGAGGTGATGAGGGATCCTATTATTCACAGCTTGCCATGTCCAGAGTAGAGCTTCTGTCCTATGAGTAGGTGATGAGTGAGGAAAGATATTCTCAAAGCCCTGGACTGAAAACATGGGGAGAGGATATCTCTGTCTTCTTGCCCAGACCTGCTTGGAGCAGAGCCTTAAGTGTTGGGCTTCCATATTATGAGACTAGGAGAGAAAA